AAACTACTAATTAATTCAATGATTGATCACACTCATTATGAATAAATTCATTGAATCTATCCGAGAATTGATAACAGTATTTATAATTGATCGGTTGGGTAATAATAAAAATATTCTCTGAGAAAAGTCTCATTAATTAAGAGAAAAGGGAATTAATTCCTCCTTGTTTGTCATTGGCATTAATTACATCGAATTAAGAATACTTGCCACGACTCGGATTACCCAGCTTTATTATTACCCCAAGATTATTAATTACCAAGAATTATGGACGGGCAGGCGATCAGGACAGAAAAGCGCCCCCGCGGCCCGTCAGATTTGTTTTCAATTAATTTTCTTGAAATTAAGAACGATATTAAGACGCAGTTATTAAACAAAAAGAATCAATGGGAGACGGAGGGAAAAAAGCTGGCAAGAGCCCCTTTTGTATTGAATGGAACGCGGGGGTTGATGGAAATGAGAGTGGGCGATGAGAAATATCTCAATTCCTTATAAATCATGAATCAGATGAGTCAGTAGCCGTCTATTATCGATTTACCTTGGGTAACGAGGCGCAACCTAATTTTCGTAATTAAACAGAACCTATCGATTTTTATAAAAATTTCGGAAAAATTCACTGAAAATGTGTCAATAATTGAATTGCTAGGGAATTTAATAGGATTCCATTATTTTTGTTTGGATTTCTTCTCACTTCGAAAGTTTTTTGTTAGTTTCTGGGAAATCATGAACTGATATAAAAAAATACACCGTTTTTATTGCGTTTATGGGATTCAATTATTTATGGGTTTCAATTATTTAATATTCAATGGCTAATTTTGTTATAAAGAATTATAAAGAGAGATTGAATGATTAAAGGATGAATCGGCTGCTTGAATTTCCCCACCAACTTAATCCGAATTTTGAATTCCGAAATTATAACTGAATATTTTACTGGATGTAAAATGCAATATAATAATCCATTCGAGACCAGTAGCTTCGGTATCTATCCCTCGATTATACCGATAAATACCATAAAGTGCACGTATCTGTATCAATCGTGAAAGAAAGTAGGGGAACCCCGACAATGGGAGCCATATGAGTCTCAACATCCCACTCTGCGCACGCTCAACCCCGATGATTCAAAAAAAAAAAAAGAGAAAAAAAATCTGAGGGGCAGCTGCCATAACCGATACACAATTGCACTCGGATACATCTTCATAACACAAAAGCATAAACCCACGTGTTTAAAATGGATAAAAAAATGAAACCTGGCACACCCACCAAAACTCTCTCCACGAACGATACATACCCCCCGGATAATTTTATGGAAGACCAATCTTCAAAAAAATAATCATAATCATAATTACTCCCTCCACCCCTCTCCACCCTTCAACCGACTTTCCACTCTCACCCCAACGTGAAAACTTTTCGTCTTAATTTTTTAATTGAGGACGGACTCCGGAAATTGTTATCGCGTCGAATTCCATTATTTTTCAATTATTTCTGTTTAAATAACAAGAGAGTAAAGTTTCGTGTCTAACCCATTCTCCCTGAAGTAAAAAAAAAAGTATGTGAATATGACAAGTCATGTGCTGATTTCTCTTAGAAAAAAAAATCAAAGCCCCTGATTGAAAAAAAATGTAAAATTTTCACGCGATAAGCCACTTACCCACCGTAACAAATGCATTTGAAACTCAAACGATTTATCGAAAATATTATAAAATACCGGATGCTCATGGTCACGGGCACTGGCTAAAGTGAGAAAAAAGAGCAACATTAACCTTCCAAGCATTAGCATCTTGCCATGAAATATTTCGCACGGGATGAAAGAATCCCCTTCCCCCCTCCCCCGTATAATACACATAAACATAAACAAAAGAGGAGAAAATAAATATTAATAACGGTACATATCCTCCCCCTCTTCACCATTAAGTTGGTAGCCCAGAGAGGCACTTGTAAAATTCCCTCATTTATGCATTTCTCTCTTACATGTCTGGGTGAGCATTGTTGGGCCCCATTACGGCAGCCCAATTAATCTATGCGCAATTTTATAATTAAATGGCTAATAGCGCATAGAATTACACTGCACCATGGAAAATCCAACACACTGACTCCCACGTATTTAACGAATTGGTGTTGACGTGGGTTTTAATTCCATCGTCGAATGAAAAAATACGGATAGTGAATAAAATTTCAAGAGGATGAGGCTCTTAATAAAAGTCTCGAACAAGTAAAATCCAGGACAGAGTCTTAAATGCATAATATTTTTTCACTCCAACTCGCCTGACCGCCGAGAGAACCAATTAAGCCGTTTTAAAGAATGAGGTCTTATTGTTTCATTTAATTTGGTTAGGCAAATTAATTAGAATAATTGTTGAGAAATCGTTGGGATAAGTAATGCATTGTTACCGCTCTTATGGCTTATCAATTCATTTCAATATTTTATGGATTAGAGTTTATGAATTATTCACGTTTGGAATAGTTAGCGTCATTTGGTTTAATTAATTTGGGAATTTTCTTTTATTCGGTGATTTTGATAGTCAGAGGAATCAGTGAGGTGGAAATTCCTGATCGTGTTTGCTTGTCTGTCTCTGTTTTTGTTCTGTTGAATTTCATATTTTTTTTTTACCCAGCATCCTGGGGTAATTCGATGCCACAGAGCGGCTTCTTCGCTTCCCCATTGCCCTTCCTCCAGTCAGGATTTTCTTATCCTGAGGAGATGCGTTTTACACGTGAGTGGAACTCCTCATCATTTTCGGCGTCCCTTTGCCATTTCGATGGGACAAAACCAGTTGTTCTCGACTTCTACCCCAGCCAAGCTCTCCCCACGCGGATAAATATATATTTTTCAAAAAATATATTTCAAAGATTAAGTGAAAATTCAAAAAACGTATCCTCATCTTCGAGATCACGTGCAGATAACCAAAATTTTATAATTTTACTCAAATTTTCAATTTCATGGGAATTACCTGTTTAAAATTATCACACCCCTACCCGAATTGTAATTTTTTACTGGATATTGTTTTGTTGGAGTGAGAATAGTATCAGTTATTGGAGGTGAAAAACAATACCACCGAAACATGAGTGTCTCGAACCGCACGAGCCGACGGCCCGAGTGCCTCTGAACTCTCTCCACAGTTACAACTCAGGATTATTTGTATCCCCCAATTCCCCTTGAGCCAACTCATCTCACTTCCACCTACACACCATAACAACCTATCTCCCTTCTTAGCCCTCGCCCTGTCACTGAATCCGTTTCCGTTTGTAGAAACCCACAGGAAAACTGTTGTCCCCAGACATACGAAGAGCACCACCAAGAGCTGAACCCCAGCCTAATCACCGATTTGCAAAAATATCGTTCACTTTTCCACACAGGACCACCAGATAATCCACAAAAATATCCACTACCTATAACAACTGAGATAAAAAACCGGAAAATTCAATCATCGAATCGTCAAAATTTTCCCTGTTAAACCGGGGAATCCCCTCTGCTCCGTTTACCATTCCGTTTCGTCTGGCAAAGTGGGTGGGGTAAGCCCCATGGGTTTCGAGTTATAGAGTACTCCCTGAAAATGGGCTTGGGGACGAATTTCATTCGGAGAAACAGCCGTGAAAGGGACACCTGTTGGCGCTAGAGTTTATATTCAACTGTTGTAGACCATATAAACCCCCAGAACAGAGGTGAATACACAGTTGGAGAAACAATGGCACGTGCCACAGCTACCAGTTGAACACCCAAAGATCTATTCACTGAAATATCCATTTCGGATTTATTCCTAATGTTCATCAAGTCTAAGACAAGAACAATCTGAAGACCATCAAACATCTCCACGTCCACCTTTCACTAAAATAACAGAAAATTCGTTCTCCAATCTGATTGTCAGTATAATCCTCGATTTTTTCAATTCAATTGCTCCTCGAATTTTTTATAAGAATCACTGTCATTTTTTCGAAATTGCAATAAAATTCTCAACAGTGTGAACTTGAAGTGAATTCTCATCTCTTTCTTTACCACTCGTCCTCAGAAATCTGAGGAATAAAAGAGTAAAGCGAATAGCTAATGCAAATAATGTCGAGCAGAGGAGATTTAGCAGTTGGAGAAATGGTGACACGTGTCAGAGGTATCAGTTGAGTGCCAAAAATATATGGCTGTCATGAGAATTCACCGATACATACAAAATGAAGATGATATTCACAAAGATTTGACCTAGATGAGAATTCTTTAATTCTTTTCATTCACCAGAAATCCCCAGAACACTTGGATGACCACCAAGTGTTCACCAACAAAAAACTCCAAAAATAACAAAAAAAAATTCATAATAATCGAGTTGGAAACGTGTTGAGATGACCGGTTGCAATTAAACTGCATTCAGCCACTGTTTTAGTAGCCACCGGTGTAAAAAAAAAATATATATAAAGTCCGAAGATGAAGCGCTGCCCAGAGGGGACACCGGGTGTTATTAATGTACATGAAGATTTTTGTTGGAGCTTCTGTTTCATTTTATTCATCCCATTCAACTCCCGATAAAACTCACTATCGAGTCGAGTGTCATTGATGCAGAAAAAAAATGAATAACTAGAATTAAAGATTCCAGGGTGTCTGGCAAGTTATCTGCAGGCAGGCCTTTCTTATCGCTCTTCACTGATCTTACAAATCACCTTTTGCTGTCGGTGATTTTTGCAGGCTACCGGGCATTATGCGAGAATATCTCTCTATGCAGATACAGTGAAATAAGTTAAGAATCTTTCGAGTCTGGAGACTTGTGGCTGAAGGAGAATTTACGCAAATGGAAACCACTGGGACTAGTAAAACCGAGGAAATCAGAACACGATCCCATGAGACTAAAGACTCGTGATTGCTCCAAGGCTGTATCACCGTTTCATCACGATTCCTATTTTTCTCATTTTCGAATAATTCGAATAATATTTCACAACAAATTAATAACGCGGAAGGAGAAATAACTCCAATAGTCTTAATGATAACCTACATCCCTTAACCCGTATAAAAACAATTGACAACTCACCTGGCTGTAGTGCAGTCTCTGTAGAGGACATCAAAGTCCTTGCAGCTGAGTAACTTGCAACGATTAACTCCAGGTTGTATAGCTCCAAGACCCCTCAAAATTCTAACCTGCTCGACATTGCAAACAAGTGGTACAATGTCGAGTCTCTTGAGTTTAGTGTAAACCGTGTGTAATCCACCAACAAGATGCTTGAGAAATAACTCAAATGCCTGAGGCAAACACAGCATCGTATCACCAGCAATGATGAATGCAGCAACTTTTTGTCCACGATAATCAACAAGTTTGCACTCATTGGCTGTTGGATCACTGGAGCTGATTGGTGGTGGTGAATTGTACGAACGCGGTGGCATACCGTGATGGGCTGCCATGAGATCAAGTGGTCCACCATGATGTCCAGACAGCATACCACCCAATTGTCCAAGTAATCGTAACTCCGGTGGTGGTAAACCCGGCATTCTCGGTACCATACCTGGTATACCACCTGGTGCACCACCTGACAATGGTGGTGGACTTAGGGGTAGTACTTGTGGTGGTGAGCCACGAGTTGGTGATCCTGGTGTTGGTACTGATCTCTGCTGCAACTGGTGTTCACGCAATTGATCACGGGGATGGGTTTGGTGCGACGGTGGTTGCTGATGGCTGTGATGCTGATTAACACTGTGCTGTCCCGACGGGCTGTGGGGATGCTTTGGACTACCAGTTACTGGACTAGCACGTGAACTGTGATCCGAGGAACTGTCCATTGCTCCGTGATCCATGGATTACCAACAATTTATTATTATACCAACACTTGTCGTCAACACTTTCCTATCAATTCATAAGCATACCAATCACTAACTCCATCCACATGCAAAATTACCCTATCGAATAATACAATCGGTGATTATTCTACGTGTTCACAGGATTGTCACAAGATATTTTTACAATCATCTGATCTGTTAATTCACTTAACTACACACACTGTACAGTACATGATCCACTCGTGTCCAATAGCCAGTGGACGGGCCAATTAAAATGACGATCGCTAGAATAAAAAAAAAAGAGAAAACAAAATGTTTAACTAAACACGATTTATTCACTGCACGGGGGGGATTATTTATTGAGTCAATCAAACTCGACGATTTCTTCGGTACGATACGTTGGGTTTAACAAACACCACTGATTTTAAGGTTATTATTTGTAAAAAGGGGAATAAAGGTTAGAAGCCCTTTTTGGGATTGGAGTGGTAACGCGACGATCGTTCACAAAGTGGCAAACGCTCTCTACTCGGTCGAGTTGGGAGTATTTCCCTACCCAGTCACAGATGTAATAAATAAAAACATCAGTGGAAGGCACCCGGTTGTAGTTATAACGTCACAATAGTGGGGGTAAAAGAGGCGGTGGCAGGGAGGTTGGGGATCGAGGGGGATTGGTTGAGTTGTTCCGAGTGCCAGTTGTACCATTGGTTATGGGGAGTTTTGAGGGGTTACGCCCACTTTATCTTAGTGCCTTCCTACGGACAGTGGCGGAACTACTGTTACCCTTTAACTCACCACTCTCTCATCCCCACTACTTCAGCTTTATCATACAATCATACACTGGCTGTAGGAAATATGTTGACCATTCTTCCATCAGTAGATTAATCAGGTTCACATTTTTTTCATGTATTCTCAAAATTTTTATCTCTCTACTGGTTGACGTTTTTACAATTAAAAATCAGATGGAGAACTATTTTTTCAACAATTATTTTGGATTGTCTTTGGTTACATGGGTATACCCATGGTGCTGGTCGGTCAATACTTATCAGACAAGGCCAACACACACGTGAAAATGGGGATTGAACCTGGAAGGCCTCAGGAGAGGAGTTTAACACAGTCGTGAACACAGTACGACGACTCGGAACGAACGGAGCGTCGTTGGACGAACGAATCCCAGTAGTGGGGGATTTCTTCTTTTTATCGTGAGTCTCTCCTCTGCGTTTTCTTTGCCAGTTCTGTCATCCCCTCTTTCATCTACCTCTCACTCTTGGCTGTGTGGTATTGCCAGACGGGGAAATGGTAAGGGGAATTCTCTTTTACTTTGTCGTTTGTTGGGGGAGGGGGGGGGGGGCGAAGAATGTCGCTGAGAGGAATCGATCGCAAACACTCTTCGGTATCCTCTCCCCCGTCGCCCTCGTCGCACCCAACGCCTCCCCCTCGCCACCTCACTAACTCCCCCCCCTGTCACCCTCACCCTCACCCGCTCTTGCCGCTTTTTATTTTTACCACTTTTTTCGGTTTTTTTTTTCATTTGTATCCAAGTCCTTTATTTATCGGCAATACGTTTAATTACACTGGTTCCAGGATTTTTTAATCGATTATGTTGATTTTTTTTTTGGGGTGGGGGGGGGTTTAGCGCGGATGCTGCGTTGATTGAATTGTGAGGGTTCGGTATTGGTTTCGGATTTTGGGGACTGCAGTGGAATTTTTTGGTAGTGTATGTGGGAAGAATTATCAGTTCGAGGGATTTTTGAAATTATAGAGTTGAAGATTAGTATTTTCATTTTTAATTTTATATTTTTTTGGGTGTTCTTTGGAAATTTGAAAAATATGGGGAATTCGTTTATATTGTAGGGGAACTATTGATAAAGAAAGAATTTTATTCCCCTGGAAAATTGGCTGAATACAAATCCCTCCAATTTATTTACTCTCACTGTTTTTATTTAGTAAATATCTCCTCTAATTATTGAAAAATCATCCAATTTGTATTTGTAATGGAGTATTGATTTTTATTAATTAAAAAATTTTTATTCATCAATTAAATTGATAATAATTCCCCTCATCAATGTAGCTGCAAGTACATTTAAAAATCGCGTGAATGACATCTTTTCTTTCCACATTTTTCCAACGATAAATTCTGTTGGTGTCTGGTGAAAAAGGTAAAATTGGGGTGAGGGCCCTTGGACTATCTTTCGGACGGTCAACCCCGCATCCCTGCCCTCATCGTCCCGGTGACCTAGATTCATCGGGCAGGGAGGGAGCCCTTCCCGTTGTACGAGTGTATGGCTTATACGCCCTAGGTGTAACAGCTGATACCCCACGACCTAGTGCAATTCAACCCCCCCGATAATTTCACCCGATTCGATAAATTTTCGCGGTTTCAAAAAAAAATTTCCAAGTGTACACCGTGGAAATTTTTTAAGATTAATTACGGGAAGTGTCTTGTTAGGGACTTGATGACTGAGGTAAACAGGAAAATAGAAAAAAAATTTTGAGACGAGAGTAAGGGCCGATGTGTGAGGGCGATCAATCATAAAATCGATGTCACTAGTCTGGGAAGACAGGCCAATGGGTTAGGAACATCAGAGGGGATTCAAAACCGCCCACCAATTAGTGGTATTAATGGCATACTACGGATTTTCGGGGTAACTAATGCCTCGTCTGCACATATGTGTCATCTATAGACTGTGATTTTCAGATTGTATCATTAGTTTTCACGCGTGTTTGCTGACAATTGCTGAGTGGCATGGGCGCAATCAGCTGAGATATTTCCAGAGAACCCGGAAATTCCGGAAATAATTGGATTACTAATCTCGAAGTCGCTAATTACAATCATGTCATTTACACAAAATTATTAATCGCTCTCGAGTGAAATTTTGCAAAAATAGAAATTTGTTGTCGCATCAAAAAACGGGAGATTAAAAAAAAATTATAACTAAGACAATCCTTTTTTTTTCTCCCTGAGAATTTAAATGGGGCTTTCTCGTAAATATGGAAATGTGTAAATATGGAAAAATGTCACGGACTAAATTGGAGGGGTGATTTTTTTTTCAATTGCTGATTTGGCGGTTTGTCACTGGATTGACTGATTTTTTTTATTTTTATTTAGTATTTGGGATGGCAGGGGCATTTGGCACGACGGGAAATGGTCGATGGGCATTTTCAGTCATATCTCCGTGTGATACGCATTGTATTTCGGCCTCTGGTCAGTTCTCTCTTGCGGCCGTTACCGTACACACACTGTCGCCTTGTATGAAGGGGGAGGGTATGTGGTGTTTGCACCCCGTGGCCCCGTGTTGTGTAGCCCCCACGGCCATTGTTTGCGCGACATTGTATACACCAAGAGACGGACAGAGATCCCCAATATGTTTTCGAATAAGCTAAAAGTTTATGCCGCTTAAAACAATTGAATTCACCCCCAACCAGTATTCACCATATTCTGACATATTTCTTTCATTTTTTCACGCCTCCAGCCACTCGTGCTCGCACCCATTCAAATCACATCATTCGGGGGATCAGTCGTCCACAAACAAAGTTTGTAAAAATATTTCATTGTGTACTACACAGTTTTCCATGGAATTTAATTGAAATTTAGTTCCCCAGTATCGATATATTATCTCTGAATTCCATTGTCAAAAGTTCTATTATGAATGTTTAATCCATGATAGGTATTACCGATGTATAAATATTCCACTGAAATCAATTTGTTAATATAAATGCATTTTTTCAACTGAATTCAGTAATTGTTTAATGGAAATTCCCGATAAATTTTTCAATTGCAATTTCGCGAAAATCCCGAGTGGAAAAGTCATCACCAAATAATAAAAAAAAAATAATTGATAATTCCTTCACGTGATAATGAAATGGAGCGATCTGCCCATAATAAAACAAATAAAAACCGAGGGGGGTGGATAATTGAGTTCACCCCCTTCCCTATCTTTCTCTCGCTCGGCGACAACCACGGCTATATGTTTTATTTATCCGATAACACGCCATTACGATGTGTATACGTACAAAACATCGAATGTGGGTGTGCCAGTAACGATTGGCTATTTATAATAACAACGGTGGCGCCCAGGTAATTAGTATCTCGTAAGTATTTCCCTCCCCATCCACCCCCAAACACCAAACTGCTGTTGCACATAACGAATTCGTATAAAAATAATACCCCCCTCTACCGAGTTGCACTAGTCTATTCCACTCTGTTAACATAAGCCCGCGTATGTGTCATATCTATATATCGATTTGTGGTTGAACGATAATTTAACGAGAATATCACTGGTAATAATGTCAATATGGGGTTCCCCGGTTGAATGTATATGGATATATGGTTTTATACGTATGAATAATAGAGCCGCTGAGTAAATTGGAAATTTTTGTACTTTCCTTGTAAAGGAGGAGCGAGGGGACGGGGGATTTGGATGGGGAAAAAAATTGAGGATCAAGAGGGACATAAAATCTGCCTTTGTACTGGGATGATAACACAATGTGGTTATCAATGAGAATTTTTCTTTGTTAGATATGGAAATTAAAGAATATGGAGAACCATTCGTTTGATAATTCGATGGAATGCAATGTAACCCGTAATTTGCGACGATTAAAATTCACTATCGGAAAATTACCGTTGAAATAAAAAAATGAAAAATAAAAAAATCCAATTCCATTACGTAACATGAAAATTCTAATTTTCTTAAATTTTCAACACAACTAATGAATTCAGCGAGCGTTTGTATCGTAATTGAAGATTGGGATGACTTGGTGCCTGAAATTTCGGGAAATTTTCGTATGCCGAATATTTCGCGATTTTTATTCAATTTTTCGTGGACTGATCATGAATTTCTGGATAAATATTCTCATGATGCAAAAACCCGCGTCCAAACTTCGTCAATCAGCGCGTAAAGGGGTGAAATTAATGCGGGCAACGTCTTAAATACAGTTTACGAAGTTGTAAGGTGCAGGGAGGGAGTGGAGTGGCTTCTTTGACGATGGAGGACCACCAGGAGAACAAGGCGTAGACTCTCACGTGGCACGCGCTTCTATTCACGATAAAACGCATTAGAAAGCTCATTTGAATACCCGGACAATGGCTAAAGTACGAGCGGATAAATTAAACCGAGACACTATCGTCCAATACAATTTCAATATCGAAATAATTGCCACAAGAGGCTATACTTTAATACATCCGCAAGCGTGAGTCTTTGTTCCATTGAAAAATATCCTTTATTTTTTTTTTTCCTCTCTTCACTCACCGAGTGGAGATGTGGGGGGTACACTTCCCTCTTTCTGGGGTGGGCCAATACTTTTCCACCACAATATCTCGCCACAACGGAAGACAATCACGTTGACACTGGGTGATGGATGTCCTCCCCAGCTCAAAATACAGGCCTATATCCTTCCTCGTCCCTCGTACACACTCACTTGCACACTTTTACCGCCAATGGAGCCTATTGTAAATGCCAACTATTCGAAATATTAGCAGCCTCCCCAACGGGGACGTGATTACCCCCTGGTCTCGCTCAGTCATCCGCTTTGACGGCCACGTAATCCTTTCTTCGCTGTTATTAGATCCCAGTATTTGCATTCAAACCGATCTTTAATGGTTTAAATATCAGGCTCAATCGATTCTTAATCATGACAATGCCATTGTTCACTATTTTTTACACTTGAATTTCTCGGAATTCACCTGAAATCAGAAATCATTATGTCATGAAAAATGAAAATAGTATATAGAAGAAAATATACAGTACACACAGATAAATATTTTGAAATTCCGTAAAAATTACGAAACGCCGCAGGAAAATTCTGTGATCGTACATAAAAATCATGTGACAGTTCCGTAAAATTTCCTTTACCCACTCCCTCCAAAATTATGGAAACGACACGTAATTTTATTGAATATTTTTCTCCACGTAGTAATATCGATGTCCAATAATAATTATTGTATATTATTCGATAATTTAATTGTCTATAGGGGCGATTGTGTAATTTTTTAAGTGGCAGACGGGCAGGATTTTCTCAGATATTCGCTCTGTTTATGCGAGAGTTAATCTGTATTATAATCACACGCACAAGCGTTCCAGCAGCTCGTCCAGGCAATTTGAAACTCGAATTATCCTAGGGGATGATGGATCGATCCTTTGTAGCATCCTGATGACACACAGATGTATATCCACCAGGATGTGGAGTCCACCCCTTTTTCGAGGTCTCACCATATTATCATTATCGATTCAAGTCAATTTTCTCATGGACAGAAAGACGAACCAAAATATCTCCTTCAATCATCACACAAGCGTAATGAGCAATTCATATTTAAAACCACATTAACATGAAGTAATAATTTATTAACAATTCATGAATATATGCAATTCGCAGTGTCATGACGTCAATTCATCCACTTGTAAATCTAGTATTGCGACATATGCGACCACTTCACGATAAATCCTTTAACACAACAATCTAATCATCAAATATCGAATGCATTTAATAATCGATACATTCTACTCGCATATTGCGTGATTCAGAGATTGTAGTGGATATCCAACTGTTTGATAATGCGATAACTGAAATGTCTGGAATATTTCGTGATAACCATTGGGCTGGATTAAATCATCGAAAGTCATCAAGGAATTCGCTAAAATCCACTTGTTACTCTATTTAATATAAATAATTGGATGAAATAAAATGAATAATCTCGATATTCAGGAGAAACATTTTTTTCTCAGATAAAAATATTGGCATTCTGCGTGTATCACTCAGTATGGAATATTGGCGCAAACTTTATAAATAATAAATCGGTACGGAAAATATGGGAGAAAATGTAAAAAGAGTGGAGGGAATGGAGAGGCAGTAAAGAAGTCGTGGCAGTGGGAAGCCGAAGTGATGTTCTGTGTCGTTGAGTCGTAAAACTGCAGGGACCAAGGACCGCACATCTCCAACAACTCTTATTAAACCCTCGTCCTGCATATTGACGGTTATTGATCATTCTTTTTTCTCCAGCCAACTGTGGATTTTATGGTAGACCGTTGAATTTTTTTTTTTTGAGAATATTCTGGAGTATTATCTAGGGAGTCGAGAGTTTCAAATTTTTATGACTTCATCCTTTGGGTAGGATAGTGAGCTGGAACTTGATGTTTTGGTTTATCACTTGACTTTTTATTTTTTTTATCATCGATCAATCGGCCGATCAAGCTTATCATTTTAGAGAATTAAATTCATTTCGATTTTGAAGTTTTAAGGTTGTTATCGCTTGAGGTGTTTTGGTGATCAGATTCCTAGTAAAAAATTGAAGTATTTTGTTGATTATTTGTATTAACACATTTTTTTATTATTATTGTCTTATCTTAATTATTAAAAAATTCAAAAGCGTCGAAATATTGTGGAACCAGCGACATCTCTCGCGTTTTCGAGGACATGGACGATAGGAAAAACTTTTAGAATCGTCACTGATTTTTCATTTTATTTTTTCAGTTCATTTCTATGTTTGTATTTATTTTAATGAATAAGCGAATGATATTCAAGTTCTAGTACTTTCTAAAGAATTTAATTACAGCCGACATGTACACGACGAATACGTCGATCAGTTATCAACGATAAATAATATTCTTATCATTCTCCACTTACCATAATCCTTGAGGTGTGACTCGTAGAAGACCCCGAGTTCCTGATTTACCGAGTGACAAAATATACCGACGCATGTCATCCAGGTTGACCTCAAAGTGCATCACAAAGAGGATTGACTAAAGTAGAGGCTCAGTTCTGGGAGTTGGAGTGACCCCAGCGGCGTCGTAGTACTGCACCCCAAGAGAGGGAGGGCGCCACACGCAATGGGGGTGTCTGCCCGTCAGCCGACTCGGTATCAGAGGAGTATAAAAATGGAGGAGGTATTCACTGAAATTTGAAATTTCGAAATTTTTTGAAAAGTATCAGGGGAGCATGAAAATCGAGGAGGTATTCACTGAAATGTAAAAATTAAAAATTTTCAAAAAAGTATCAGGGGAGCATGAAAATGGAGGCGATATTCACTGAAAATTGAAAATTCGAAATTTTTCGAAAAATATTAGAAGAGCATGAAAATCGAGGAGACATTCACTGAAATTGAAAAATTAAAAATTTTCAAAAACGTATCAGGGGAGCATGAAAATGGAGGAGGCATTCACTGAAATTTGAAAATTCAGAATTTTCAAAAAAGTATCAGGCGAGTATGGAAATCGTGGAGATATTCACTGAAATTGAAAAATTTTTAATTTTCAAAAAAGTATAGTAGTAGGGGAGATTGAAAAATTTTAAATTTTCAGAAAATAAAATTCATCCAGTGGACTGGTCCCTCTGACTGCGAGACTGCTACTGGGGCAGTTACCGAGTCGGCTGACGGGTAGACGGGTAGACCCCACCATTGGGTGCGGCCCCCTCTTTCTCTTGGGGTGAACTGAGCCGCTCAGTGGGGGTTTGAGTGACCCAACCGGCATTGTAGTACCTCACCCCAAAGAGAAAGAGGGGGCCGCACCCAATGGTGGGGGGTCTGCCCGTCAGCCGACTCGGTAACTGCCTCAGTAGTAGTCCCGCTGTCAGAGGGATCAATCGACTGGGTGAATTTTATTTTCTGAAAATTTAAAATTTTTCAATCTCCCCTACTACTATACTTTTTTGAAAATTAAAAATTTTTCAATTTCAGTGAATGTCTCCTCGATTTCCATGCTCGCCTGATACTTTTTTGAAAATTCTGAATTTTCAAATTTCAGTGAATGCCTCCTCCATTTTCATGCTCCCCTGATACGTTTTTTAAAATTTTTAATTTTTCAATTTCAGTGAATGTCTCCTCGATTTTCATGCTCTTCTAATATTTTTCGAAAAATTTCGAATTTTCAATTTTCAGTGAATACCGCCTCCATTTTCATGCTCCCCTGATACTTTTTTGAAAATTTTTAATTTTTACATTTCAGTGAATACCTCCTCAATTTTCATGTTCCCCTGATACTTTTTTGAAAATTTCGAATTTCTCAAATTTCAGTGGATACCTCCTCGATTTTCATGCTCTCCTCATACTTTTTCAAAAATTTCGAATTTTTAAATTTCAGTGAATACCTCCTCGATTTTTATGCTCCTCTGATACCGAGTCGGCTGACGGTACGACACCCTCATTGCGTGTGGTGCCCTCCCTCTCTTGGGGTGCAGTACTACAATGCCGCTGGGGGCACTCAAACCCCCAGAACTGAGCCTCTACTTCAGTCAATCCTCTTTGGTGCGTCAAAAGCTTGTGTGTGTGCATCAAAAAATTTTGCAGTTGACAGTGAATTCTAACCCAACCTAATTGACGATTGTGGAAAATGATAGCCACCGTAATTCTATCGACTCAACAATTAGATTTTTAAACAGTAAGTACAACAATTATTCACGAACCTCTGCATACGATGTACTAACACTTGAATTCGTCATTTAATGGTTGATGTCTTGTTGATCCGCAGATTTGATCGGATTTCTTTGTCCCAGGTCGCAACCCAATAATCCTAATCTCCCTGAATTTATTATTCCAATTCACTCCTAACGATTATATCCACACGTTTGTGCCCCAGTCACTCTAAAAAATTCACATTCCCTCAAATTCTAAGAAAATTTCCGAATCATTTCGTATGAAATTTTATTCATTTTTATTTTGACTGACCCTTTCCTAAAATTTGCCCCACAATTTCATTTTGTTTATTCGACAATATTCTGGCAACTCATTCCAGGTGAAAAAAAGTTGTGACTCAGTGATGGAGGATAGGGGCCCTCACGAGGGGGCCCCTGGACCCCTGGATCACCCCCTGCTGGAAAAACCTCGGGATCTGCCAGAAATTTGGACGTCGAACCCCACAACTTCCCTCGACCACCGAAAAACCCCGAATCGCTTGCTCTTCCTGACAGTCGAGTTCTCAGAGGACCAGTCAAAGGACTTCAACCGTATGTTCCCATACGAGCAAGTCTCATTCTCCCCCCGAGCAACATCCCCTTTAGATTTTGAGCATCGAGTGAGTCCCCTGGACCCCAACATGAGCTCCACAGCTCGATATTCCCCAACTCCAGTGCAACTGCCTTCACTGCCCTTCCAAAATCCTCAGGTTGTCCTCCAGAGTCCCCCATCACCCCTGATCCAACCACAAGAGACCAATCAACGTGGCACCATGAATTTCATCGAGACCCAGGGCAGTCCTCCAAATATATCATCAAGTGAAGCAGAAAGTGTCTCTGATTTCGTGAGTGGAGAGAGCCAGCAGGGGATATCCCACGTGAACGGGGAATTAATTCTGATGCAGGAGCCCGCAGAAGAGTTAGAGCATTCACCACCGCCCCTGATGCTGTCAGGGCTGACAAGCACGGACTTCGCTCTGGCCCGTGACTTCCTAGTGATGAACGATGACCAATTAACCGTGATAACCCCCCTGAGCTCCTCCTCAGAGGACCCTGCAGTGGTCCCCGAGCTCTCGAGCCTTCCTGACCCTGAAAAAGACATGCTGTCTGACTCCATCACCTACCCCCCTACCCTGCCCCCGAAGAAACCACTAACGGAGGAAGAAAATCTGCAGTCAGCAACTGACATCCCTCAAAAATCCACAAACCGACAGATAAACGATAAGAAAACCTTCTGGTGCGATGACTGCGACACAATTTCACTGAGGGACGGCGAGTGCACCTGTCACAACGTGCAGACAATTGCCGACCAGCCAGTGCCTTCTCGAGCAGTGGCGACCCTCCCAGGTTCCCACTTGTCCCTCAGAAAATTGAATTCCCCTCAAGGGGCGCTTGGAGTATTTGCAAAGAGAAACATCTGCAGAAGAACGCAGTTTGGTCCAATTGAGGGTGTCCCCTGCGAATACGATGGCAAGGGTTTCAGTCACGATGCTCTGCCCCTCCTCTACGAGACAGACAGAGGTGAATTCATAAAAATTGATGTGTCAAACGAACACTCGTCGAACTGGATGCGTTTTGTGCGCCCAGCGCAGAATTACAGAGAGCAAAACCTGATTATTTCTCAGCAGAAGGAAGGGATAATTTTTCTGACGACGAGAAACATCTCCCCCAGGGAGGAGCTACGCGCTGGACCCAGTCCAGATTACGCGACCAGAAGGGGTCTACCCCTCCTGGAGGACCCGAAGACCCAGCAGTTCACGTCTGGTCACCTCGAGAGCTTCTCATCCCTCGATTCCCCGTTCAATGATTATTCAAATCGTCCTCCCGACTTGCAGGTTTCGTCGAGCCTGAACTCCATATCAGAACATCCCCAACCCCAGGAGCAAGCGAAACGAACGAGGATGGGAAAGAGCAAGCTCCTGAAGACGATGGACGAGCAGTCTTTGCTCTACAAGTGTTCCCAGTGCCCCAAAGCCTTCCCTCGAAACGACGCCCTGAAAAAGCACCTGCTCTCTCACTCAGGCTCGACATCTGCCTACGAGTGTCCGACCTGTGGTGAGAATTTTCTCCACTCGTACAATCGCAGTCGTCACATTAAAATATTCCACAGCAACGACGCAAAGGAGAAGGAGAACTCGAGGAAGAGTTCTGAGTACAAATGCTCCAAGTGCAGTTTGATATTTATGAAGGCATCACTTCTGGAGCTGCACAGCGAGCTTCATAATAAAAACAACAACGAATCCCTTGATGAGAAGAGAACACGATGTCCCCAGTGCAAGCACTTGACGAAGAGCCACCTGGATCTGGTGAAACACGTGTCAAAGCATGGCCACAAGTACCAGAAGCACAAGCTAACTAAAACATCGAAAGTAACAGTTTTATCATCCCACAAATGCACGATGTGCTACAAGCGTTTTGCAACTAAAGTGCGTCTGCAGCAGCACTACCTGGTGCACGGTGCCGAGGACCAAAAGCCACTGCCATGCAACGTATGCTTCAAGCGATTCATGAACAACTCGGCATTGTCCTGTCACCTGAAGACTCATCGAGAGGACAAGCAGATATTCGAGTGTCCAATGTGTTGTAAATTATTCAATCAAGTTCTTCAGCTGAAGGATCACATTGAAACCCACAGGAACGACGACAAGACGTTCACCTGCTCTCACTGTCCTCGAACATTCACCAAATACTCAGTAATAAGGAAACACATAAGGGCCCATCACTGCGAGCGCAAGCACAAGTGTCAATTCTGCGTCAAACGTTTTCCAACTATTGATAAATTAAGAATGCACCTGCTCCGTCACTCTGATCACAGGCAATTTCACTGCGCTAATTGTGAGAAGCAGTTCAAGAGGAAGGACAAGCTGAAGGAACACATGACAAGAATGCACAGCTCCCAGAGGATGGAGAGAATGGAGAGACTGGAAAGGACGGAGAGGATGGAGAGTGCAAGAGAGCAGAGTGACGTTGCTATTGATAATGGTGCAGGGAACCAGGGTAATCAGTCTAGAAAATTTATACCAAAGGTCAATCCCACGGATTACAACAGATTCGTGTACAAGTGCCATCAGTGTCTGGTGGGCTTCAAGCGCAGGGGCATGCTGGTTAATCATCTAGCAAAGAGACATCCTGAGGTGCCTCCAGAGTCCATACCAGAGTTGAATCTACCTATTTTGAGGCAGACGAGGGATTACTACTGTCAGTACTGTGATAAGGTTTACAAGAGCAGCTCCAAGAGGAAGGCGCATATCGTGAAAAATCATCCTGGTGCTGCTCTCCCACCAAGCAACAGACAGAAGGAAATGATGGGGGACTCAACGTACAGTCAGGCTGCTGGAAGTGTCACCACGACTCCCCAGAGTTGTCAATGGTGTCACAAGCAGTATGCCAGCAAGGCAAAACTCCTGCAGCATCAGAGAAAAAAACACTCAACCCTCATGGAACCTGCTGATCAAGTCCCTAGAGCCAGAAATCGACAACAGGCGCAGCTTCAAGTGCAGCAGGATCTCATCGACAATAACTTTGGCAATAATAACTTCGAATTCATTGAAATTGCTCCGGTCTGTGACATTGGTGAGTTGAGGTTTAAACCCAGGATTATTAAAATTGGGAGTAATGGGGATTTCATTGATGTCGAGGGGGGCATTGATCCACTCGTTAATCAGCAATTTGTACGTGTGCGAGACATACGTTGAAGGATTTTGGGGCATTGCAATTTTTATTGCAATGATTGTTGTTCAATTTCAGTGACGAGGTATGAATCTCGTTGTTTTGGGAATGCGTTTGTTGCTGATTGTGATTAATGGCAACGTTTAACGCTGGTACCTGTTGGTGGGGGGGGTTGGAGGATTCAGGATGATAGGGTGATATCGTCCTTGAAGGTTTTGGGGCTGGTTGTTGGCGCTGACGACGAAAACGTCAGTGCTCACCCGATTATCATTATTTTAGGGCTTTTGGTGCGTTCGGGTGCAGCTGTCTCGAGAAAATGATTATGCCGGGGTGGGGGAGGGCCGGAATTCCGTGGAAAACTGTTCAGTGGGGAAGGGAAAATTTTTGGGTCGAATTTTGACTAGTTGATTACCTGGATTTATCCTTTTCGCACTTCACCACTGAACGCATCGATTCCTTGGGGTTTTATGGGCCCTTTTGCGGGCCCTTGGTGAGCGACAGGAATTGAGTATTGCACACTGGAAATCAATAATTTAATCATAACGAGCATTTTTTCGTACGGTCAATGCAAGCCATGGAGAGGAGAAGAATGAGCCGTCGGGGGTGGATTATTTATTTACAATGACAGGAGATTTATTTATTCGAATTTTCAACTGGTGGACAGAGGCCAATGGTAAAACAAATTTCACTGAATTTTCCAGAGAATTTTTCCTTCACCTTGAAATATCAGTTCCAGGGAATTTTTTCATTGAAAATTCATGAAAATTTTAAGGAAAAATACGGGGAAGGAATCAAAAATAAAAATCTTTAAGTATTCATTCAACTGACCAATAGTCGAAGCCGACTCGAATTTACCTGGAAAATTCAGAATTTTTTTTACATTTCCTAGACTTCAATATAAAAAATAACGAAAATATCAATTTTTGAGGTATCAATTCACTATTTATTATTGAAAAATGGCCATTTGGAATTGAATCATTGCGTTTTGTATCGTGTGTTGAGAGTATCAGGATTTCAATAATCGATGGATTTGTTTAAAGCACTGGCACAACAGAAACGATTAATATCTAGATTTTTTTAATGAGATAAAAGTGAAAAGTTACGTTGAGGCTTCACTGGGAGAAAAATATCAAATGGGCATTAGGCCTTAGCATTAATTTATTGAATGAACAAAACTCAGAGTACATAATGCATTGGTTAATCAATGAATAATTGATAGTTGTTTAATTGTATCTCGCTACAGCGATACAGGCAGAAACTAAAAACCAAATTAACGAGACAAATTATCGAGCTTCAATAGGACATGGAAAAATTAATCTTTTCTTTGAAAAATTTAACTCGATCGTTGATCAGTGAATTTAAAATGATCCTGAATACGACGTAAATGGAGAATTACTAGGCACTTGACAATAGCTGTTGAAACAATTGTAATGAATTTAATTAATCGGTCCCGACCCATTTTGCCTCTGCAGTCCTTAGTACAGTCTCATAATTTCCTTTATTCTACGGATCACTATGTACACCGTTTAATTATAAATCGAAATAGAAATAATGTAAGAGATGATGAAATTATTGAGAATGTGAAACCAAATGTTTCATGGGAGATCTATCAGTGTCATTTAAATTATAGAATTCTAGGAGTAAATTTGAGAACAGAAATTAAAGAAATATTGAAAATATATTCGAGTGGAGTTTCTATCTTCAATATCTACATATATAAATTGTATATCTTCAAATCTAACAGAGATAGCTAAATTTTTGATAAAACCTTTTTTGCAGCCCTCCCATCACTCTACAAAAAATGCCCTCACCAAAATTTCGCTATCTCTCCTAGATTCACAGATATTACCTCTTGACCTCTTCGCTTTATATCTTCATCATTGAATTTGATTTTCTCTGTTCACTGCTGCATTGATTATTATTAATTGAGTCAGTTAAAAATATGAAGAGACATTTTCCATAAAACTACTTTTCAGAGATGAACGTCGAACATATTTTGTGTTCAAGTCTTAAAACATAATTTCTCCGGTTGAATATATTTCTGCCTCAACTCCAATACTTTACATAATTTCTCCGACGAGCTGGAGTTTATCTCGTTGCATTCCCCTCGAATTTTTCAGTAGCAATAGCAAGTGGTCCCACTGCCCCGGGTTTGAATACACCCTGATGAATGGGAGTTGCAACTGACGGTGATCCTCTCTGCATCTGAGCCGTTTCGTGTAATTGTTTCTGCATAACTGCCAGTGCAACTTTATTGGCTGTCAGAAAATCCTTCATAGATATCAATTCACCGGACATGCGTCTCGGTGTATCAGATGCACTGCTGTCCTCACCCCTCACCGAATCCCTCCTGGATACACAGTTGACTCTAGTGTGCCTTCTGCGGGAGTAATAAAATCCAGAGACTGAGGATTTTCTCCTGGGTAGATGAGGAGCTGCCATTGCCCTCCTCCTACCCATTATTTTATTTAATTTCATTATCACACAGTTGAGCATCTGTTTTATCACTATCGACGTGACATTCAGAAGGGAGTATATGCAGCAGCAACCCAACACGAGGACCAAGAAGTTTATTATTCGATAGCTGAAGAAAGAATTAAAAGACGTCATTACCACAGAGAAATAGAGCATAGAAATAATTCTCGTTCCTGGTGAAAAGAGCTTACAAATGGATGTACGGATAATTATCCTTTTCCGTGCTGACGTAATCCCCGAAGCCGATGGTGGCGAAGCTTATGAAGCAAAAGTACAGAGCATCGAGATATCCCCAGCCCTCGAACAAGGCGTACAGAGAAGCTCCACATCCCGCAACAAGACACGAAAAAATCGTCAGGTAAAGCATCACCCAGTAGACACTAGGCTTCCAGTGATCGAGGCCCATATCGTCCTCGTTCTCCTCATCGAGAATATCAGGAAGGTACATTCGAGGATTGCTGGGCCTGGAAGCAACACGTCGAGACGCCAGGGTTGTCTGTCTCAGACGTTTCTTCAATCTCCTCAGATGGATTGTCCGCAGAACCCAAGCGAGGAACGTTATAATCCTCTCCAGGAACAGGTTGAAGAACAGTATTCCCCCTGGAATAATCCCATAAATTCATAATCAAGCGGAATGATCATTAATTATTCGTAGATCATCACCTGAGCATCCAAAAAATCCATAGACAATCACAGCGAGTCTTCCAGCTCTAGTCTGAGGTGTCGTAGTACCATACCCTTCAACAGAGTTCAAATATTCATAATCAACAATGCATAAATGTCTTTTGCAATTATTCTCGCAATAAAGTGGAGACTAGGTCGCCTGTGGGACTGTGCGTATGCATATGAGAGCATTAACATTCTCTGTCGTTTTTCGCACTGCATTCTAGTGCACAAACGCCTGTTGGATGCAGTCGTCGACCCCAGCCCTATCATCCACAACCCTTTCTTCCACCCAATTAGCCCATTACCTTTTACAATCAACACAATCATCAGTTTGAGTGATAATTAAAGGTCCGCGATAAGCGGATTCTCCATTGTAATCAGGGATTGCTGTTCGTGGGTGGTTCTTTGGTTTGTTAGTTAATCCGTTCGTTAACTGGAATCGGGTGCTATTCGGAAAGTTACATATGCACGTTTCATTACGTATTTTTGTTATGTAATGTCATTATTTTCGTATTATCACTCGACAATTGAATTACGAATGATAAATCGTGTATTCTAATTTAGTAGAAAACAACAAGTCGAATTTCGGTCTTTCAAATATTCATTAATCTCAACAACTATTGGTTTTACGAGGAAATATCAAGAGACGTTTTTCCTTGGAAATTTGATAAACTACAAATAAGCTCTTCAATGTTTCTAGCTCAAATCGATAGTTTTCTTAATAAATCGATAATTAAGAATGAAGAATTGGACTTGTTGTGCTTTAATAATTAGTTAGTCAGTTAATTGATTACCGATGGTGGAGACGATGGTCCCAACGAAGTGAAAGCTTCCGGAGAAGTCCCAACGACGTCTCTTGTGAATAATCCCAGTAGCCGATGCGTTACTGTACGCGTAGAGGAGTTCGTTAAGCCGCTCTGTGGCTTGGGGATTACTTCGCAAATGATATCGACGAAAAACGTGATAAACACGCCAAAATTCGGTCGCCTGGTAATAATGATAAATTATTAAAGGCCTCTTCCGCTAATGAAAATCATCGATTTTATATAATCTCGCACTGATGAAATTTTTCCTCTATTTCTCAATGATTTATTAATTATCAAATTATTGATTGGTGTTTCAATATCTTTCGTATTAACGAGATTTTGGAAATGTACAAATGGAATGAAAAGTTCTCGGGCGATCAGGATAATTATGTATAAATATCGCTGGAATTTTAATTGATTACTGCTTGATTGAGGATTGAGTACTGATTGAGTACTGATTGAGTACCTGGTGCAATTCAACTTCACTCTCAAGCGTTTGAAAGAGCACAGCACCAGCCAGCATGTAGCAGGCTAGAAAAATAGCCAAGAGCACAAATCTTATGTTGTCCTCAGCGAAAGCTCCAGACAGGCACATCACCGATCACTCTCATGACTCTGTTGATGCTCTTCACCGCCCGCAACTACCACTGCGGAGGATCAACTTGAATTGAGGACACTCGTGCGCCGGACACGCGCAAAAGTCTCTTCGAGGATATCCCACGAGATTATTAATTTAAAAAAAATATCAAAACATTCATTTTCCAGAATTTTCTAATTCAATCAGTCAAATTTTAATCTTTCAAGTTTTCCTTTCGTGCGAAAGTAGAATTCAAAATCACCAACAACTTATTAACATCATTATTACTATTCTGTCTTCTCTGCAAATCATTGCAGTAAAATTAATCAAGATTAATTGATTATTAAATGATCAAATTAATCCACTGTCTAATAACAAAAGCCAAAATTTTTTCATTCTTCGAATTCAATCTGAAATTCGAACCCAAAAAGTCGAACCACTGAAATTAAACAAATTGTTCATTCCTATTAATCGACAAACTCAATACCAGAACTTCATTCTTTAATCTATTGAGAATTAACTCAGACTAGAATAAAAATTGATCTCTCCCCCAAATAATCTCAGATTAAACAAAAAATGTAGAGCTCGTGGAAAAGTGGAGCAGTTCCATACATCCCTCAACTCCTTTTGACAGCTAAAAATACCCGAGATTTCCGTGTATAAAATGCACGCATTGAATAGAAGCTTTTTTATTTTTCCACGCAAAGAGAATCGGGTAGTCTGACTGGTGGGTCACAGACTCCATGTAACTCCCCCGAGAGTCATTAAGCCGTTACATAAAGCTGAATTATTGAAACACACCTATGAATGGAATTCTGGCCATCTCACTTGACCTTGAGTCATGGCAATCCAAAAAAAAAATTCTCACCAGCGTGAACAACCCATTCAAAACGGAGTAAAATCCAAAATCAAAGGTCTTTTCATCTACTTTTTAATGGAAATCGTATAAATAACATTCTAAAAAACAATAATTTATCTTATAAAAATTTAACGCTTATAAATCTCATGTTTGGAAATAATCGAATGTGGCAACATCATTTTTATAACATACTCTGACAGTTTAAAAATTAATTATATCTACATTAAAGGAATTAATAATAATACATTGGAAGGCAGTGATGAGGGAATTAATCGTGGATTAGCGTTTTGGCTGGGGACCCTCTTCCAGTTTTCTCCACACGACCTGCAACAAATTCAATAATTACCAATTTATGAATTATTTCCTTTCAAATACCCAACAAGATTGTTGCAAAAATCAATAGAACTTAACAATAAATTCTATTGATTGCATAAACGAACAACTAATTCCGTACATTACACATCTCTCGAATGAGAGCCTTTTCCCCGTCATGCCCAGCCTCTCTCTCCAGTTGTTCTCTGACTTCGAGAACCTGGAGAGCCCGGACAACGGCCTCTGGTCGTCCCCCGAGGGGTTGATTGTCATTGGGGATGGCAGGCGACTCCCAGAGGGGGTCCGAGGGTGTTGGCACTGTTGTAGTTGGGACCGTAGGTCCCTGGGGGGTTCTATTCTGAGCCCTCGCTTGTAAAATACTCTTGTCTTCTTCCAATTGTTTGACTCGTTGCTCCAAACTCCTCACGTACTGCATTGTTTGATCTGGGACCATCAAAAAACCAGTGAATAATAAATCATTCTCATACCTCAAGTTAATTATTCAGACAATAATTCAGTCCATTAATATTATTATTCGTACAAAAAGTATATGAAGACCTGAGAAGAATCATTTATTTTCGAAATGAGACACAGAATCAATTCACGCGCTTTAATTTCGGTCATTCTTGTTATCAATTAATCAACGCAATTTAATGATAATTACCATTGAAGGTTGCCGCAGCGTTTCTCGACCTACTTGTCGGGACAGTCTCTTCCGCATTGGTACTGGAGCTCGAGCCATCTCCGTCGTCTCTCTGTCCCCCACCTCTCTCCTCGTCCAAATACAAACACAACTCCTTCAGCTCAAGGTTGTCCTTAATGAGCTCCTGCTGTTTATTATCCAACTGTCGCAGTTTATTCTGGTAAGCCGATACTTCCTGTCTCATAACACTTGCGGTGTACCTCCCAAACCTCTGCCACTCCCTCGCTAATTTCCTACCCTTCTGGCGATCGTCGTCCAGGAAGCAGCAGAGATCTCTCAACTCCTGGTTGTCATCGCTCAGCCTCTGGTTTGCCTCTTTCAGTACTCGTAATTCGCTCAGCTGAATATACACAATCAGGAAAATTATTTTCACAATTAACCAATTATTTATGATTATTTAATTATATGTGGAGACTCTTCGCAAAAAAGGAAAGGATTTTTTTGGTGTGATCTCTCGCAAATTCCATATTTCTTGCGCTATTTAACAGAACTATAGAATTCGACTTATAATTTGATCCTGAATATTTGTTTTAATTAAAACTTTAAAAAGACGAAGAAATTTATAACTTCACTATCAAATATTTAATTATGTTTATTTTTAATATTACTAATATATAATTTTCTATGAAATTTTCAGTTTTTTGCACCCAGATTTCCTGCACATTCCTAATGAACAATCGATAGAGTGTCATTATGCTCGACCCCGGGATAATCTAATTACCAAATTCTGTATCTGTCGATTCTGTTCAGCAGCAATTCTGGCAATATCGCTCTCAGTTTTTCTCACGAACTTGAGCATCTCCACAGGTCCCAATCTCAAAAATTCGTCGTCACTGATTCTGATCCTCGGAGCCTGAACGGGCGCCACACTTGCAGGTGGATACTGACTATTGGGTGATAAAAACTGTCCCTGAGGTAGTTTGGATGGATAAAAACCGGTGGAATGCAGCGATGGATTCTTCGATGCCGTTACAAAGTCGATCTTGGGTGAGAGTTTCCCTTGACCATCTTTCCCCCTGACCTGGCCTGCCTGACTACCCCCTAGAGCCCCAGGTGCTACCAAGTTCGGACTAATTAAACCACTGCTGGGTGTTCCCACGTTATTGAAGTGCGGATTATTCTTGAGTATTCCACTGGGTTGAGGGGGTGGTTGATACTGGGGTGGTATCGGTTCACTCTGTTTACCGATTTGACCTGATTGTCCGTTGGTCGGGTGTTGCTGTTGCGCTTTGCTTTTCGTATTTGACATTGTCGAAATAATCTTCAGCGGCGGTCCAGGCCGCGTCCCATTTCACCAGCAATTCGCCTCAAGTCCTTTGACCCTCTCACTCCTTTAAATCTGGGTCATTAAACTCACACATCCGCAATCCCATTCACTTCGATTTCTCACAACTTTGCTGTTGCCACTAAAAACTTTAATTCATTCATCACAAGTCCACTTGTTCGACAGTCAAATTAAAAAATCCAGTTCAATTCAAAATACACTCAATTTTCCATTTTCCTCTCTCCACTATCCCATCACTTTTTTTTTAATTACTCAAAATTAAATCATTTTAAATATGTGATATATTTGAAATATCCGAAATATCAGAAACTCGTGTCTCGATTTATTTCTTCTTTTTATCCTTCTCCCGTATGACTCTTGAATGAATTGAGAATTAAATCCCGAGATGATGAATTAATGCGTTTTCATTGATGCACAATTCACAGATGCACCTACACGGTCAATTACTCTGGTGGTTTTCCTGATGCACCGAATGCTCAACCATTGATGACGTACGAGTGACAGAGGGCTGATACTCCAGGTATATCAATAAATAAATTAAGAGTGGACAACATGGCGTTGCAGAGGCGTCGATGCCTGGACAAAGTGAGTGGTATTGAGTACAAGTTGAGTTTGAAAGAGGTGGGAGAGTGGAGGCAGTTGGGGAGAACCATCTTGAGTTTCTTTGGGGGCATCTAGCTCAAAGCCGGAAGAGGTGCATTCAGGGATTGGCTGAAATATTCACTGGGGTCGTGTTTTCTCTCTTTTATTCTTCAACATTTTTACCTTCACGCGCCGCAGGTTGAGAACCAACCTGCTTTACCTGTCTGTATTTTACCTGCTCAGGTGGGGATCGAGAGGATGGAGGGGACCAGCCGGAGGGAAATTCTGGGGGGTCTTTCAGGAAATCCGAGGAAATCCGAGAAATAAGATTTTGTCACAGGAAAAATCCATTTCTAGAATGGAATAAATTTTCCTGAACGTGAAAAATCACTTTTCCCAGCCATTAAGATAAAAAACAATAGACCATTCCCTCATTCAATTAAAATCATCCATGAAAAGTAAAAATAAAGTTAATGCAAAACAACAGTTTTAAAAATTCAATAATCAACTTTATTTAACTCAATGTACAAATATTCAATTAATTTCACTATCGAGAAGCTGAATAATTTTTAACAAACGTACTGTTTAGCCAGAGCCCTCAAGAACCTGGTTTTCCGAATATTCGCAGCCTCCCTTTGTATCTCCTCATTATTATTAGAATTAAGCTCCAACAGTCCAATTATCTTAATAGCTAATTGCTTTCGGTGGTGCTCTCCCCTTTTGGAGTGGAGGTGTATAAGAAACTCCAATATGGTGACATCCCAAATGCAGTGGTAATAGGCGTCCATGGCATCAGCTGTGGCGCAGCTCTTCTGGTCGCTGGAGGCCATGGCGAATGCCAAGGAGTAATTAACATCTTCGAGAAATTGGCATAAAACAGTGGCTTGAGTGTAGCATTGTAGGTGTGCACAACACTTGATCATCCGCCAGTAGACAGACTGCAGGGGCCGAGGTACTTGTTGACTGAAGAGATCACTGGATACCATGATAGCCTCTAGATAATATTTTATCGCTGACTCGTAGTATCCCAGCACGAAGTTGAGATCTCCCATGACCCTCAGCCACGATACATTAGTGGGATAAAACTTTAGTGCCTGAGTCAGCAGTTGAAACAAGAACTCAGCAATAGTCCTGATATTATAAGAATTTGAGTTGGGAATGCTTGCAGGCCAGAGTGTCAGGTACTGAGTGTAAAGTTCGAGACTGGGTTCGTCCCTGAGGACATTGTGGAGCCTCGCCAGAAGGGAAATGACGATGTTCAGGGCAGTTGGCTCCCTGAGCCTAGCTAGAGTGCCTGATATACTGGCTAGGAGGTCCTTGTTCAAGCTGCCACCGGCCGCAGCCCCAGAACTGGATCTTTTGAGTGGCTGATCCCTATTGGGACCAAACCCAAGAAGAATCATGTCCCAGGCCTCCCTGGAGAACTTCTTGGATCCCTTGAATTTCACAACGTCCTGACAGACGATACTAATAGCAGACGAGAACTCACAGTGACTCCACCTTTTCTCCAGGTTTATCAGGTAGTCCCACTCACCCATATTCAGGAGGAAGACAGTGCAGTACTCGATGACCTCCTGCCTGGGGATCACCTGGTCAGTGGCTTGGAGACTGCCCAGGCACTGCTTGCAGTCCTCCACGAGCTTCGTGGTCTCTCTTTCTGTTAGCTGCCCCGGAGGTACATCATTCGTGTAACTCCAAATGTCTACCAGTATGTACTCCCAGCTGATGAGCTTCAGCAGCTTGTACATAGGATTCACTGGGATCTGGGAATTCTTTTCCCTCTTGGTGTCTTCTTCGAGAGCAGTCAGCAGTAATTTGGCGCCTGTAAAATCCTTGGAGGCCACCAGCTCTCGGCTTTTCGCCAGGAGGATATAGGCGAAATCCTGGTGGAGGGACCTGGGGAGTGCCATCACTACACTCTGCAAAGGAATTGGCAGTTCCCATCTGCTGCTTACCCTCCAAGGGGGGCTCGTGGGATTTTTACCATCAAGAGCTAACAGAATCCCTCGGATTTCGTTGGGATCGTAGGACAGCGTCAACTGGCGCTCTAGCTCTGCCATCTGGAATCTTGGGCTCTGGGTGTACGTCACCAGGGACACACCCCAGTCGTCATTCAGCAGAAGAGGGGGCAGCTCCACGTCCTCTTCTGAGGCTTCTCTTGATATTTCTGTGAGCTCCTCTGGGGTAAAGAGGGCTCGGTATTTCTCACTCGACAGCAGGCGTTTTGCCAGGTCCGGAATACTTGACATCATCACCAGGTACAGCATGTACCGAGAAATTCGCTTCTTATCTTTGGGGGTGGAACTCTCCAGCACTGATTCGAATGAGCCTAAGAGAACTTCCAGACCTTTCGAGTCTGATGATTTCAACTCCGTGAGGAAGTTGTTATGAACTACTTCACCATCTAATACCTGGGAAAAATATTATCTTCAGGTAATATTTAATTCATCGATTCCAATGATAAAAAAAATCATCTGAGAAAATATTGATTTTAGTAAAAGACAATACCAAAAAAATCACAAACCTTCCTAACAAGATTCAGACACTGAATCTTCATGAGTAACTCCTTGGACACTACGATCTTCCGATTGATGAGTCCCCCCTGGATATCAAGCTCTAGATTATCCCTGTACACCATGGGAATCTGTCGGCGTGTGTTGTCCTCCTCGAGGATTTCCACGATATTCCGATACTGGTCTTTGATAGACGCATGAAATTGCTGGGTCAGTCCTTGGCTCACCCCAGGAATTCTAACATTGGTGGCGTGGCAGTAACCCTCGAGGTTCTCCTTCAAGACCCTGCAGTAGAGCCGAGTCTCCCTCGTGGTGAGTGTATCGAAAAGCTCCTTCGCCAGGGAGACGTGGTATTTGGCTACTGAGTACTCCTCTCGGAGTAGGTGGAACGTGGCCAGATCGTAGTGAATTTGGCACTTGAACTCCTCCGGAGAGATGCTCCTCATCCTCTCCCAATTTTGTTTTATCTCGGTCGTGTCCTCTGTGAGCATCTGGAAGGTGTCGAAGGTCAGGACTTTTGGACTGAGATTCTTCATCTGAAGGACTGCATTGAGCACCTCGAGACTGTAGGGCACTTGCATCTCGACTTTTCTCATTATGTCATCTATGAGAGCTGGGGGGACCCCGATGTAGAAAAAGGAAGGCTCTTGAATTCCAGGACTGTGAAGTAGAAATGGCAAAATAAAAAATGACGGGAATAAATTTGATGATTGCTGGATGTAAAAATTTGATTGCTTACAGGTGAACTAAATGGGCCTTATGCTGTTTACTATTCAAGGCTCTATTGACTATAGTTCTCAAGGTCCACCTGTGGTACAGAACAATAGTGAATAACAGCTGATCGTTGATGGACTCCAGAGGGAATTCCAATAAGCTCGGAATGTCCACCATAATGTCTCCAGTCACATAAAACAGGTCCTGCAGAAATGTCAACTGCATTGGGAGTGGCAATTTCTTCTCGAGAATATCCAAGTCCCATTTCAGGTAGGCTGCCACCTTCAGAGATAAAATTTTCAGAGCTACACTCTTGTAGGACCACTTTCTCGTCACTGTCCCATTTTCCAGTTGCTCGGGGTCGATTATCTTGACTTCATTGTCCTTTTGGTCAAGATTTATTGACATGAATTTTATCATCAAGTCAGTTGGCGATGGATCTATTCAAAAAATGGGAAATTTCATAATTTCTGCCAAATCGCGATTAAAAAAAAACTCATAAACTAGAAATATAAAAGATCAATGAAGCTTTTAAAAGACAACGCAACCACATATTGATTAACCTGGGAAAGCCTTGGAGATGTGTTTCTCGAGTAGACCAGGATTCAGCAAGAACTCGAACCAGAGAATAGTATCCGGAGATATGGGGACAGTTCCCGGTCTCAGCAGATCGACATCCATCATTGTCGACGTATCCTCCAAGTGTCCGAAAAACCCTTTTCCAGGTCTTACAAATAATCACAAATCGATTGCATATCCTCAAAACCTCAAATGATTCACAAGCGTCGAGAACTCCACACGAGCGCACACAAGTGCTCTAAACGCACCTCTGGATTGTCGGAATGTCAACCCAGAGGTGGATCCTAACCTCAACTTCTCTGAATCACTCCAGCGACTCCAAATTCTTGAAATCGATAAAAAAGGTCCCTCTATAATCCAACGAGTCCCCACTCCTCTATTACATCCGAGAGCAAAAGCACTGCATCCACCAATAAAATGCTCGCCTCAGACTCTTGTGGATCACCACCACCATGTTGTATCGATACATTCCATTGTGATTACTCGAGCAGTGTGACAGTGTTTTAAATGTTGTTTCAATTATTTTCAATTCCTAAAGAAAACCTGCATCTCCCCCCAAGAGTCCACGAGTCAGTGACCAAATACATGAAGTGTAGTTCCCTGAGACCACCCTCAGTCCAGTGCAATTAATTAAAAAATGCCTGACATCCAGGACGCAGGATGTGTCCCCCTGGGCCTGCTCTGCCTTCTCCTGATAATTCCCTTGGGCAACACCTCATCGCCCCCAGGTATCTCGCTCAAGTCCCAAAAATACGCCCAGAAGACCCTCGCCGAGGAGGATATCTGTCACCCAGTGACAGGCGTCGCCAAAAACTCGATGAGGCTCCCCAGACTCCCAAACTCCGGCCTCATAATTTCACCAGCTCATGTTTTCGACACTTGGGCATATCGAGTGGACGATCTTCGTTGCAAATTTGTAATAAAAGCACCCAAGGGAGAGCACTTGTTCGCAGTAATTCAGAGCATGTCCTTTCGACGGAACGAGAGTGGCTGCATCGACTACGTTAAATTCAGAAGGAAAGACCGAAACTCGACCGATAAATTCTGTGATAATTTCGACAGGCGAAGACGGAGGTATTCCCTGGATCACTCTGAGGATTACACTGGTGTTATGAGTAAAAATGCATCGTTCACCTTCGGAGAGTTTGACCTCCAGGGGGAAATCGAGACGACAATATTCGTCTCGAAGGAGACGTTAAGTGGAGGCCAACGTCTGGACCTCACCCTCGTTTACACACCCTACAAGGACTGTGAGAAGGTGGACGATAACCAGTACAGGACAATGAGGTACGACGTCTGTATCTGGAGAGAGTATTTCTGTGATGGTTACACCAACTGCTTCGCTGGAATATGCATGGACGAAGATTATTGTCCAGATGAGGCGACTAGTAATGGAACGGGAACTACAGTCACTATTGGAGCTGTTACGACTATTCTACTGTGCTTCATTATTTTTTTGATGGGCCTGTGCATCTGCAAGAAGAATAGGAAGTTGTGTTGGTCGACTGACTGCGCTGGACCCTCCTCCCAGGATCCTAGGGGACGTGGGGACTCGGGGGCCTCCACTCAGACCCAAGGAGTTGCTCCAATGCTCGAAATTGCTGCGTTACCCTCACCCTTGGATAAGGATCTACCACCCAGTTATGACTCCTTGTTTCCTGAACAGGCGAATCGAGCTACTTCATAGGGAAATTATGTCGTGGGTTATTTAATGTTTTAATTAGGTAACTCTTGGGGTTTTCGCGGGTCCAGGGGATCTGGGGAATGGAGATGAGCTCGGTTTTTTCGTTTCATTGACTGACGCTGTGGAAAAGAGAATTTCTCTTTATTATTGATGTCATTACTCTCCGATATTTCTCAGATAATTTGTTCATTATTTTTATCCAGAAGGTCATTAATGATTTGAGGATTCTTAGTTATCACAGAATCATCAAGCACTGGAGTTTAATGCACTCGTCAGGTTTTATGAGTTTACTTGTAGATTTTATAACAGATTGTATGGAGTTTGAGTATTTGCAAATTATTGTAATTTCTTTTAGGCTCATCTCCAAACTGTTGGACAACATTTTCATTTTTTTATACTGATAATATTCAGTAAATTTATATTGAATTGAAAGGGAAATTGAAAAATCAGTTGAAATTTTTTAAGTGTATCCATAACTTTTCTACTTATTTCTTTGAAAATCACGATAGAATCAGCGACCGAGGTGAGGGAATTGATTGACCTTCAATCGCAATTCACAATTATCTGACGCGCAAACACAAAATCAATCGACTTTTTATACTCAAGAAGAAACTGTTTTTGAAGTTCAGGATGCATTCGAGTCCCACAACATTGCCAATAATTTCTACAATTTTTTACCCAACTATTCCGATGATCTTTTCCATTGGTGAACCAAATTATAAATGTGATACTCGGTAACAATCGTTTTTACATACAGACGTAGGGTAATTTTTATAATAAATGCAATACTCAATAGAGCAATCTCAATAATTATAGTGAGTAACGTTTTCATATGGCATTTTATTGTTTTTAACGCACATCAGCCAGTGGATGATGCAATTCAATGATCCTTCCTAGGAAGAATAATGTACGTTACGTGAAGCGTTCATAAACTTCAAGGATTAAATGATAAAACGTGATAATTCATTCGTTCATATTTTTTCTCTTCAATACACCGACTTATAGCTGGTGAAAATGTGAAGTTTGATTTATCGCAGTTCATTACTCCGTAACATAATTAATATTGCAGATATCTATATTATTTATTCGGCGAAATAAATATCGAGACGAATTCTGACTTAATTGTAAGTGCCAATAAGTTTAATGACGCTCATGGGTTTATGTAAATTAATAAATTAACAATCCTCACACCTTTAGAGAGAAATAATGAGTATTGACTCATTTTTTTTGTAAATATATTTGTATTTAAATGCAGTTTATTACGCAAATGGTAATCCAAGGTATATAATAATAGAATTGATGTATCAAGATAGTGTAATAAAACGAACAGATTTAATAACAAAGATAGCAAAATTCAATCACTTTTCAAGTGGTCATTGGCTTTGGCCCTCAGATTCTCCTCGAACCACAGTATAGCATTGATTATCTCGTCGATTTCAGCTAGACCAGTGCCGAGGCGATGATTGTCATCGTACACTAGCATTCTGTGAATATTCAATAATTTAAAACAATTCTAGACCAACAAAACAAATAAAAATGTTGAATAATCTCGTAAATATCCCCAAGAGGTTTAAAAAACCGTCAACTTGTCAAAATTATTGAAATCGAAATTCTTCGAGTGTCGGAAAACAAATTTAGGTGACTGACCTCCTTTCTCAAAAATTTTTACGACTCACAAAAGAATTTATTGACGTTCTGCCATAAAGTCAAGGGTTTAATGGATATTTGCGAAATAATTCCCTCGAGATCGGTGAATCTCACGTCACTTAATCAGGTAACGTTATCACATTTGCTTACGTACTTTGTTTTAACTCCATTGGCCTTCAGTCGAAGATACCAGTGTTTACCCTGGGACGGTGGTACTCGAAGATCATTCTTACCGATCTGCATCAGCGTCGGTGCCTTGACTTTGTGCGCATGAACGATTGGTGAACACTTGAACATCTTCACCACCATCTCTGCAGTCTCTTCTGAGGACATTTTGTCATACGACTCATTCGACACTGCTGCACACCTGAAATAGTATGGCATGCTATCCTGAATTGAATATGAATGAGCGCTTGATAATTACGGCTAATTATAAACACGCATAATTATGCTGACTACATGAATTTGTTGGAGTTTAGTGAAGAAGTAATTCGACTTATCACATTTGACACTTCAAACATGTACGAATATGATGAGATAATTACCCGCAATTACGAGTGCAAATAGTCGTGTTTGAAGTGTAGACTTCAATGCAGCAATGAAGTGGTAAAGATAAGTCGAATTTGATTTTTTTTTCACTATCCATTTATCTCGGAAACTATAAATTTAACGTGGAAGCATGAAAAGCTATTTAGCAGCTGATTCAACTTTATCTTGTATTCTCTTCTACAATCACTAATTTTCGAGATAAATCGAGAAATAATAAAAATGAAATGAATTTATTTTAATGAAATTCGTCGTTGAATTAATAATTAATAAATGAAAAATATAGCAATTATTTCTTATAAACTTAGATGCGATGGAAGTTATCAATGAAAATGAACAATAGCTAATCAACGGAATTTTTAATAAAGACAAGCAAAATTCTAAGCTTACAAGTCATGATGGAGCCTAATTCTCTCGTCAATTCGCAATGCATTACGACTGAAATCGAAATTCCAATACATTACCGTTGGCTCTAGAATTCGAACCAGGATTTAGCAATTAAAAGGATCAACTCACCAATCGGGGATGTCTGATATCGTGAACATAGCTGCAATGTTGATGACTGGATTTCTCGCCACAACGGCTTGATACATGTTCTGAAAATCAAAGACAAATGTGAGTGGTAGAGTTACAATTTTAGATTTTTTTTCTGCAACTAATTGCTCTGGAGGAATTTATTTACCGGATGCTGTCCGCTGAGATGAGCTACAAGGAATCCTCCATGAGAGCCACCACTGAGACCCACTCTATTGGGATCGAGCCAGGGGTATTTTTTTAGGGCCTCCGCAGTAGCTGTCACGCAGTCTTTGACGTCTGCATCGCCCACTCTTCCTTGCAGGTACTCCACGTTATCAGAACCCATTCCAGTAGAGCCCCTGTAGTTAACCTGAATCATTGCGTACCCTATGCAAGCCAGGGAAGAAATACCATTTATTAAACATAAAATAGAGCAGGTGGAAAAGTATAAAACTTATCGTTTTTTAATTTTCTCACCCAACAGAGTCAGCAGGGAGGTCTCCAGTAGAAACATGTTGACGTAATTGGAATGAGGCCCCCCATGGGGCATGACAATCAGAGGAACAGACCTCGCCGCTCCAGTCTTCGGTCCAAAATACGTGAAATTGAAGTCCCGGACAGCATCCTCCCCCTGATAGACGTAATCCACGTGTTCTATCTGCATATCCTCGGTCCCCTCGATCATACTGCCAGCGGTGATGGGGATCAGCTTCATTCCACTTCCATCTCCCTCGAATTTGCTGGCCATCAGGACGGAGGGCACCAACAACGAAGTATTCTTTAGTAAAACCAAATTCTCAAAGACGTCCAATACCACAAGACTCGTATCATCATTAGGAATTTCAGATAGAATTTTCGTTTCAGTGTCCAGCACGTAAGACTTGATATTGGATCGCTGGGGCGAACTCAGGAATAAATATCTCGAGTCTTTGCTCCAGCATCTGTTGGGTAATTCTCGATTGTAGAGTCCATAGAAATCGAGTCCCTTGTGGATCTCCACTTTGGTCTTCACGAGATCAATGAGAATTGTTGGAGTCCTATCCGAGCTTTCCCAATCAATCGACATGAGCCTGTGGGTAATGTGATGGGGTCCACTGAGGTCCCGCTCCAGCCACACCAACTTTTTTCCATCTGGACTAAATCTGGGAGACCTCACTCCTCGATTATCACCGGATAATTTCTGAAAGACTCCGTCCTTCAATAAGAACACCCAGGATTCCCTGTTTGTGCAGGCAACGAGCCCCAGATATCTACACGTACAAAAAAAATAGTTAAAATTCAGGAAAAGATAAAGAACTTGTAAGAATCCTAGATTCTCGGAATTTTTCACCTTGGCTCGTGATTCCAAGCGATTCCAACGATCCCATCACCATTGGGTGTCCAGATGACCTGGCCTGGAGACAGGGCCTCGTCGATTCCTGATTGGACTGTCAAGGTCTCAGAGGCTGTGTCCAGAACGACCACTACCTGTTGGTGCTTCCCCACGAGGGCTTCACCCCAGTCTGGTTTATAGATGTATTCATTCCCTTTCGCTGCTTCCTCTTTCTCCGATTTTTTGTCCAGGGGTTTTTGTTTGTAAAACGGCTCGGACTTTGGTAATTTTTTCTCAGCGATGTACACAAGTTTTGTGGCGTCAGGAGACCACTGGAATGATCCGAACTCAGCGTCTGTGTAGACGTCGCCATGAACATCCAACGAGGACAAGTCAAAGTTCTTTAACTGGGAGTGCTCGTCCCAAATCTCGATGAATTGCTTCCTCGAGTCTTTTTCTTTATTCGGGCCCGAGCAGAGAACTGCTTTACGTCGGCTGTCCTTACTTATTTCTGAGCCCAATCTTCGGAGCAATAGAAAAATGTAGCAGCCAAAATAATAAATCGATATAACCCCAATTTTTCATCTCGTGTGAAATATCGATGAATTTGAAAAAATATTTACTTAAGAAGTCGATATCAAGGATTTTTGTGTGAAAAATTAGATAATAATTGAATGAATTAAATTGAATTAATCGAGAATCGACAAAAAGTGAAAATCGTATAAGCGACAGATATGAAATGTTTATATTTACACAGAAGTAACATCATCGGGGAAAGTAGCAAATCTAACTTGGAGTTGATCATTCAAGAGATGCCCAATTTTGAACTCTTGATTCGCAGTTCTCTCCAGATTCCGGTGGGTCCATTTGCTCTCTACTCGGATATCACTTGCAGTTTTAAACGCAATTCTAGCTGATGTTAATGTCGGATTTGACGCAACGATTTTGTACAACTTCACTATCTTTTCCATCTGTAAAAATCGATCATCATTCAGAACCTACTTTTCAATTTTCAATTTAAAACTCGACCAACGATACCTCTTGGGAAGACATTTTCCATAAATCTGCCGCAAGATCATCAAATCATCGTCTGCCCAAAGAGAATGGAGTAAACTAGAGGTGCTTTCATTACTTTTGAATTTATCATCCTGATGAGTTACCTGGAGATCGTCGTGCCCTCCCTCCTATACGGTCAGTACTAAAGACAAAAAACATTAAAACCAAACCTAAAGGCAACTTCACGTCAATGAACTCCCTTCACCGCCAGTGTAAATAAAGTTATGTTTTGTTTACATTCTTCTAAGTAACAAAATGTGCCAATTAACCAAAAGTGCCTGAATACTTGAAGTAGCAATAATGGAAAAGTACATAAGATTATATCAAGTGGGTGAGGGATCCTTCGGACAGGTTTTCAAAGGGAAAAAATGTTCCGATGGAGAAATCGTGGCGATCAAAATCATACGAAAGGTAAGAAGCAATACGTTTATTGTGATGAAGAAAAAACTTTCATCAATGCCAATTGGCTTTCAACAATTTCACTCAATCGAATTGATGACAATATCCTCTGGAACGTCAGATCGGTCGTTCGTCCAAGGAACTCCATGGTCTTCGTCAGGAGTGCGAGATTCAGAAGCATCTGCACCATCCTAATATCGTCCAGATGATTGACTCATTCGAGACGGAAAAGGAGCTCGTTGTCGTGACAGAATACGCCGATAAAGAGCTCTACGATATTCTCGGGCAGAGTGGAAGACTTTCTGAAGAGAGAACTCAAGTTATTGCCTGTGACTTAGTCTCTGCTCTCTATTATCTCCATTCCAATCGAGTTCTCCACAGGTGGGTTACCCCACAGGTTCCTGACTACACCTTAATTATTCATGATTTCCTCAAACATTTATTCAAATCTTTATTTCTTTTTGTACGTTTAAAACGTTCTCAGGACATTTATCAAAACATCGAAAAGATTGATATTTTGAATGTGAAAGAATTCAAGGATTCCACCGTTTTCCACAGAGACCTGAAGCCCCAGAATGTCCTGGTGGAGTCAAATGGTGTGGCAAAGCTCTGTGATTTCGGTTTTGCACGTAGCATGAGCACAGGCACCCACGTCCTGACCTCGATAAAGGGAACGCCACTCTACATGGCACCAGAACTGATAGAGGAACACCCGTACGACCACAACGCAGATCTCTGGTCGTTGGGTTGCATCGTGTACGAGCTCCTGGTGGGTTTTCCACCATTTCAGACCACCTCGATTCTCCACCTCGTGAAGCTCATCCGCTTCGAGGCAGTCAAATGGCCGGAGTTCCTCTCACCGCACTGCAAGAGTTTCCTCCAGGGCCTGCTTCAGAAAGACCCCTCGAAACGCTTAACCTGGCCAGAACTGCTCGATCACCCTTTCGTGAAAGGAAGAATACTGATTCTCAACGGAGAAATCCCGATGGCTGCGCCCTTCACAACTCCTCTGTCAGCATCCCAAGCCCTAGCCAAACAGCGTCAGCTTCAACATCTCGCTATGCAGTCAGCCAGTCACTCTGGAATTTTAGAGAAAGCTGTCGAGAAGGTGCAGGCGCAGGAACGTAAACTTCGAGATCAGAGATTTCGTACGTGCATGTCTCAGCCTAGATACCCCATGACAATGTACTGTCCCTACACCACTGGACAGCCTTTCCATCATCCTCTGGGTCGTAGTCAACCCAGTGGCACTGACTCCAGTGCCAGTGTCGATGTACTCCTTGAGAATTTGAGCCTCAGGGCTTCTCTGCAGAGTGATCTGTTGATCTTCGATGGAGTCAATCAGACTCTGTGCCCCTCAGACTGCCCCAGCGATCAGCACAATCAGAATGAGGATTTATCCTGTCTCCCTGAATGCATGAAGGAAAACGTCAACCAGAATATCCAGGGAATCTCTGGTTTTCAGACTGGAAACGAACCGAGACCATCGTTTCCGCAAGGGAAGAGCAGACTCAGTGCAGATTATGAGAGGGAATTCGGTGATGATCTCTCACAGCAGGTGGAGAGGGGCTCAAGGCTACCAGACTGGGATGCGAGGGTTGTGGAACAGCATATTGAGAACGAGGAGTGGGTGGCATTCCTCCAGAGGTCCATGGAGGAGATAATCGATGGAGAAATAACGTCTCTGTTACAGGAGAATTGTGTCTCAGTTTTTGTTTCTCCATTGAGAAACTCTGGGGCTGGCTGCAAGGTTATCGAATTCGTGGCCTGTCTGCTGTCCCTGCCATTTGTGGTGGCAGTTTCCAAAGACAACCTGAGGAAGATCGAGGAGGTGTATCTCGACGTCAGGGTTGTGCCTAATCTAGTCTATGCTGTCAAGTTGTTCATGTCTGAGAAAAATTCAGAGAATGCTGGAAGTGAGGAGAACTCGAAGGGAAGGACAACTCGTTTAGCCTCTTCTCTCTCTGCTGATGAACTTCAGACAATCGAGTGCATTATGCTGATACTTTGTAGATTAGTTTATGCAAACGAGAAATTTCTCACGCAATTCTGTGATGCTGTTTATATTGTCAATGGAGTGCCTTTCCTGCAGCAGCTGTACACATTGGAGAAGAGGAAGCCTAGGGTTGTGGCAGATCTGGTGGCTATTTTTAATAATATTTTGAGGTCACAGCCGGAAAATGCTGAACTCGTGGAGAAAGTGGTGTTGGGTAATGCTGGGGCTGTGGAGCAGTTTGTCAAGCTACTGTCCCACAGGCAGATTGTGCTCAGGGTGAGGGGCTGCATTCTTATTAAGCTACTGGCCAGATTCTGCTGCCGAGCTCTCCAACAGATCTGGGGGAGATCGTTGAAGAACCTGCTGGAGGGATTGATCCTCGAT